CACTTTCTGAACCCGGGGAAGACAGTTATTTTAGAAACTATTGAAGATAATGCTACAAAAGTCAGACACCCATCGATTTAGTGCGATGTTGATTCTGAGCGAATAGTGAAAGAATATTGCTCACCCGTTGATCTGTGCCGAGAGAAAGCAAGAAGGGGAAAGAGTGACACCTAGAAAATAACATAAAGTCAGCTCAAGTCTGTTCTCCTGAAACAGACCTGTGAGTTTTTGCAAACTAAGGTCATTTTCTTAGAATTCAAAATGCTGTCCCTTCTTATTGTAAGGAAATTCGTGCCACCAAAGGAGTGTTGACCCCAGCATGCAAACCAAAATAACACTCTCGGTGTGTTGGCTCTGTATCGCTGTTCTGACAATTACCACGCTTTGGTGGCTTAAACAACATAAATCTGTAGGTCAGATGACCAGTGTGGTCCCACTGGCTCCAGCCAGGGTGCCAAGCTCTGCATTCCTTACTGAGACTGGGGGTGGGGGATTTGCTTCCTCGCCTTCCCCAGCCCTGGAGGCTGGCGTAGGGTCCTATTCCTGACAGTGGTGAGTCCTCGCATGGCATCACTCTGACCTCGCTTCTGCTGTCAAGATCCTTCTGACCCTGACTTCTCTGTTTCCCTCTTCTACTTTTTCTGCTTCCTTGCCTCATTTACAAGGACCTTTGCAATTACATTCGGTTCGTCCAGATAATCTTCCTGTTTTAAAGCCACCTGTTAACAACTTCAATCATCTGCAAGCCTATGTCTCTTTTGCCATGTAATGTGACATATTCACAGGTTCTTAGGACATGGACATCTTTGAGGGCCTACTGTGCTGTCTACCAGATAGAGCTTGTCGTTTTATCTTTTTAAAAATTTTATTTATTTATTTATTTTGAGACAGTCTCACTCCATTGACCTGAGTAGTATACCGTGGCATCAGCCTAGCTCATAGGACTCAGACTCCTGGCTCAAGTGATTCTCCTGCCTTAGCCTCTCGAGTAGCTGGGACTATAGGTGCGCACCACCATGCCTGGCTGATTTTTCTATTTTAGTAGAGACGGGTCGCATCTTGCTCATGCTGGTCTCAAACTCCTGAGCTCAAGCAGTCTTCCACCTCGCCTCCCAGAGTGCTAGGATTATAGGCATGAGCCACCATGCCCGGCTTTGGTGCTTATTTCAAATTCACCCACGATCTAGTATTTGTGCCACCAAAAATAAGCACAGGTATCCTCCTAAATAGGTAAATTTTATTCTTTATTTAATTTCAGAAATAATATTTTATGCATAAATAGATCTATAAAGAGATAAAAAAATAACAATAATTTTGTAACTGCTGGCTTGTATGTGGTCTCATCATGTCACTCAATAAGGAAATGCTTTTCAAGCCAGGTATGGTGGTGCATGCTAATAGTCTCAGCTACTTGGGAGGCTGAGGTGGGTGGATCACTTGAGCCAGGAGTTTGAATCCAGCCTGGGATACACAGCAAGACCCAACTCTAAATAAAAAGAAAGAAAATGTTTTCAAAGTCACATAAAATTGTGCTTTAGAATCGATTTTTAATTGCTCTGACTTTTGGTTTTTTGCTTTACTATTTGGTATTGTTCAATCACAGTAGTTAAAATCAACTTACAACTTTAAATTCAATTTACCAAGACTACCTTAAAAATTAAACCCCAATTTGGCTTAAGCCTGTTTTTTCTGTTTGTTTTCATGTTTGCTTTATGAGTTTTAAAATTTATTAAAAGGAAAGAAAGATTACTCTCAAGAAAGGAAGCTACGTTTAACTATTTTTCTAAAGAGAGTTTGGCTAAGAAGTCACTTTGAGTTTTAAACTGGGGGTTGGGGAGACATCTCTTGCACTATCCATGCTATCCATATAGCATGTACCATACTTCATCACCCTTTTACATGGTAGAATTTTTAATAAGACTTTTTGGCCATTTGGATAAGGTACAAAGCATCCAATGTGCAATTTAAAAGAAGGAAAACCGTATCCCTTCTGTCTACATACTGGTGTCCTTTAATATCCTCAGCGCCCTTTGGTGGGAGAGGGGACTACACAGTCAGACAAAGAAAACCCACCTCCCTCCCACAGCATTGCCAGGAAGGTTCAGGCTCAGGTGCAGTGTCCAACGCAGGGATCCTTTAGCCACTAGGGGGCAGTGTTAGGGCACTGATTTCGTAGGAATAAACTTCAAAAAGAAGGAAAACGAGAAAACATCTTACTCAACAAATATGTGTTGGGTATCTAATGCAACAACACTTAAGAGTTTAATCCACTGGAGGACGAAATGGTGGCAACTGGTATCAAAAGCAAAGTTGCCTACTTCCCATTTTGCCAGCAGTTTAGCTCCATAACATCTCCTCCAAACACCCACATCAGTCTTTCAATAAACATTGTATTATTCTCTTCTTTCTCCCTTCCAGTCGCTCTTCCTGCTATTAGACCCACTTTTGGAAGGATGATAGTTTAGGTGAGGCTCTTGGTCCTTAAGTGGAACAAAAAAAGATTGTTACTATAGGCCACTCCTTTCTCAAAATTATAGACATTATGTCACAATTTTCTCCTACCCCAGTTATTGCAGGAATTTTACTTTTCCTTCCCCATCCCTGCCCGGCTCTTGGCCTGCAAAACCTAAATTATTTTTAATCTGGTCCTTTACAGAAAAAGTTTGTTCACCCTTGATCTGACCCATCATCCTCTCTTCCTTGCACAACTGGAAAGATTCCAGGCCATGCATGAGCCTGGGTTCGGCCTAGTCTTTCAACCATCTGGCTTCTTTTCTCTTCCTCAAAGACATAAAGTCCTACGCTTCCTCAGGGTTTTATTCTTGCTGCATCCTTTATCTGGAATGCCTTTAAAGGTTCATTCTCACCCTTTAGCTCTCATCTCAAATTCCACTGTCTAGACTGAATATCCCAGCCCCAGCTGCTTTCTGTCACAAAATCGCCCTCTTTGTTTCCATCATAATTACCTCAATTGTTCATATTTTACTTAAGCATTGTCCGTTTCCTCCACCAGAATGGAAGCTCCATGAGGCCAGGCACTTTGCTGTCTTTTTTCAACAGCACACAATAGGTGCTCAATAATTTCTTTTTATTGTGGTAAAATATGCATAAATGAAAATTACCATTTCAAGTGTATAGTTCAGTGGCATTAAGAACATTCACACTGTGGTGTAACTATCCCCATCATCCCTCTCCAGAACCTTTTCATCTTCCCAAACTGAAACTCTGTACCCATTCAGCAATAACTCTCAGCTGCCTCCTTCCTCCCAGCCCTGGCAGCCACCATTCTATACTCTGTCTCTATGATTTGACTACTCTAGGTCCTCATGTAAGTGGAATCAACAACATGTGTCCTTTTGTGACTGGCTTATTTCACTTAGCATAATATCTTCAAGGATATTGATACCATGTGCCAGACTTTCCTTCCTTTTAAAGACTGCATAACATTCCTTTGTGTGTATACAACACCACATTCCATTTATCCATTCACCTGATGGACACTGTAAAAATTTTTTTTTTTTTTTTTTTCTTTTTGAGACAGAGTCTTGCTTTGTTGCCCAGGCTAGAGTGAGTGCCATGGCGTCAGCCTAGCTCACAGCAACCTCAAACTCCTGGGCTCAAGCAACCCTACTGCCTCAGCCTCCCGAGTAACTGGGACTACAGGCATGCGCCACCATGCCCGGCTAATTTTCTATATATATTAGTTGCCAATTAATTTCTTCATTTATAGTAGAGAAGGGTCTCGCTCTGCTCTCAGGCTGGTTTCAAACTCCTGACCTCGAGCAATCCACCCGCCTCAGCCTCCCAGAGTGCTAGGATTACAGGCATGAGCCACCATGCCCTGCCAAGACTGTGTTTCAAAAAAAAAAGAGAGAGAGAAATGTTCATAAGTTCTTTTGCATCAGATTATGTTTACTGTTCTAACACAATAAAAGTGCAATTTGCTTGAATCTTCTTAATTTAAAAGCAGCACCTAAATCAGCAATGTTGATCAATTATTAATTAATTAATAATTAATTATATCAAATTTATTGTATTAATATTTAATAAATAATATAATAATTCAATACACTAATTTATTATATTAATATTTAATAAATAATGTCAAAATATTAATAATCAATAGATTGTTAATTAATAGCAATTAACAGACATCATCTTAGAAAATTATTTTATGCTACCTAATTACAGTTTCAGTTTCACAGTGATGGAGTCAAAACTAAAGAAGAAACTTTAAGAATAGGTGGCCTGGCCATGGAGAAAATGCAACAGAGAGAAACAAAGCATGAGGGAAAAATGGACTTTAGTTGTTTATCCAACCACATTAAGGAACAGTGGTAAATTGAAGGTGCTTAGAATTGCCATCCCAAAACATGCCGTGTCATCATAAGGATTATTTTGAGCTGCAGCCAATTGTGAAACAGCAGATGAAGAAAAAACTCTCTACCCTCCCCCTTTCTACCAAAAGGCCGGGTACAAGTTTCTCTTTGTGAAAGTGTCCCCCTCTCTTGTGCCAGGAAGGGAAAAACAACCTTTATAACTGGCGATGGAGGCGGTGCCAAGATGAGTCTGCATAAATAAGCCTTACTAAACAAACCTTATCTTCTTTAGTTTCCCTCCATAATTTACCACTCTAGAAGCCCAAATTCCTTTCTTTTGTCTTGTTACTCCTCCACATTTCATTGACCTATCTAAGATGGTGTTTAAGTCCTCTGAGTTTAAGCATTTCTTTGGGTCTTTACTGTCTAGGAAGGCCTTCGAGAATATTTAAAAAATTAAAATATTAACATCAAATAAAATTTGACACATTTTCTCCAGTTAATTTGTCTTCTGTCAGTTTAATTTGTAGACTCCAGTAACAACACCTAAGAGAGAACAGGAAAGTTTTTCCTCCTCTAAAAAATTATTTGCAAACTGAATCCTCTAGGCATTTTGCTCAGTTTTCTTTTAACCCTGAAGAGATACTGGTGTAGGAGAAAGAACTTTGAAGTTAAACAAACCTGGATTGAAATCTTGAACCTACTGTTTTATGTAGGAAAATACGTAGGATCTTGGGTAAGTTATTGAAATCTGTACTTCAATTTCTGCACCTGTAAAATAAAGATGATAAGACCTACTTAATATAACAGCTATGAAGGACAAATAAGACAAAAATATGTAAAATAATTAGGACATAATGTGAATCTTGGGCTTTTCTCTCTTTCTTTAGGTGGGGCTGCCACAGAAATACATAGAGGTGCCATGGTGTTAGCTGGCAGTCTTGTGCAAAGAACATTGCAAATGAAAGCAGAATTTGAGAAAACTATTAGATCCCAATGAGTATCAAATAAAAGAACAGAGGGAAGCAAGTCCTATTGTGGATATTGCTGAATGATTCAGAGGGAGGAAGGGAGAGGGGAAGGGAAAGAGAATAGTTGCTTGATTATTAAGATGTAATGAGAGCTTTTACCCAATAATTATGCTTTAAGGGACCTCTACTAAGGAAACGATCCTAAATAAATAAAAACAATTAAACACATAGATGTTCATCTCAACCTTGTAAGATGGAAAAACTAAGAACAACCTGAATGATCAAAAATTGGAAAGTAATTTATAGTATTTTGAAATGACAGAATATTATTTACTCATTAGAAATAATTCTAATTAATATGTACATTATCAACTTCCATTATGTGGGGAAAAGAGTACACAGATGAAAAAGACTGGAAGGAAATACAAAACAGTGTAAGTACTTAACCTTTTGAGTGGTGAATCATGAATGTAGAATTTCAATATTCTTTTTAGTGCTCCCTATTTTGAAAATTTATACCCTTAACCAATGTCATTTTGCTAATCTCCCCACTCTCAAAAAATATCCCCCAAACAAAAAACTATCACTACGACAACAAAAAAAAATTATTAAAAAAAATATAGGCCGGGCACGGTGGCTCACGCCTGTAATCCTAGCACTCTGGGAGGCCAAGGTGGGCGGATTGCTCGAGGTCAGGAGTTCGAAACCAGCCTGAGCAAGAGCGAGACCCCCGTCTCTATTATAAATAGAAAGAAATTAATTGGCCAACTAATATATATAGACAAAATTAGTCGGGCATGGTGGCACATGCCTGTAGTCCCAGCTACTCAGGAGGCTGAGGCAGCAGGATTGCTTGAGCCCAGGAGTCTGAGGTTGCTGTGAGCTAGGCTGATGCCATGGCACTCACTCTAGCCTGGGCAACAAAGCAAGACTCTGTCTCAAAAATAAATAAATAAATAAAAATTTAAAAAAATAAATAAATAAATGCATGGAAAATACCTGTAGTGCAGATATTCCTTGTTGTTGGTTGAAAGGAGATCTGATGTCTTCAAGTTTCAGATTTGTAGAGGGCAAGATAGAAATTTCTTTATGTAAACTAAAAGGCCTGAGATTTGTATTTCCTGCGGTGTGGGAAGGCCTCCCTGGCACATGGAGAAAGACTGCAGAGGGCCTGCAAAAGGGAGTCCACATGCTTTCAACAGCAGATTCCGATCTCCCCAACTCTTACAGTGGGGAATGGGGAAGAGCAATCCCTGCCTTGGACATTGAGGGCTGTCGTACCAACATTCTACACCAGAAAAAGACCTTCAGATAATGACTACTAGAGAATGCCTGATTTTTAAACAGGACTATGGTTATATGGGTGATCACTAGAGATCTAAATTTAACAAATAAATCAGATAACTTCTCATTCCTTGGGCCTGGCAGGAGTTTGAAACTGTTTTTATAAGTGCTTTTGTCCTTCAAAGGTCTCTACCAGGAATATGTGACTGGATTTCCCATGGCTCAGACAAGGTACTTTCCTCCTGCTGACATTTCCACTGCTAATAGGATTTTCCATGGTCTACTCCACAGGGACATTTTCTTTTGGAGTTCCATTGCTCCTGTTGGTCAGGATTTTAATATGTATTAATATATCCCTTTTTACTGTTTGCATTTACTATGTGCATGTGCTACTTTTAAAAAATATTCAAATGAATGAAAGAGAAAAAATATAGAAATAGAGGATAAGAAATTCTGCATAAATAAATATTAATGTCATGTTCTTGGTTGGGACAACTTATCTTTGTAGAATTGTTCAGGTCCCGCAAATTAATCTGTAAATATAGTGCAGTTCCAATAAAAATCCTAGCAAAATGTTTTTATTGCAGAAATTTGACAAATAAATGCTAAAATGTATGCAAATAAATAAACTAGCTAAAATAATTTGAAAAAGAAGAAAGAATCACATATCAAATATTAATAAATAGTATTAAGCCAAAAAATTTTACAACAATGAGTTTTGGGTAGTGGGCATACAAAAAGATCAAGGGAACAGAAGAAAGTCAAGATGCAGAGCCAGGAATGGTACATAATGGCATGTATGCAATGGAATCACCCAGAGGTAGCACAACAAATCACAAGGGAAACAAAGAATTATTTAGTGAAAATTGAAAAAATGATTGGCTTCATGAAAGAAAAATAAATTTATGTCTCTACTATATACCATATACAGAAATAAGTCACAGTTAGATTAAAGGTGTGAAAGATAAAAGCAATTTTAAAAAGAAGAAAATATTTTTTAAATTTCAGAGTGAAAAAGCTTTCTTAAACAAGATCTCCAATTCACAAATGGTTATGAGTATACCAAAATTACACAGTTTTGTTCTCTGGGAGGCCGAGGCGGGTGGATTGCTCGAGATCAGGAGTTTGAAACCAGCCTGAGCAAGAGTGAGACCCTGTCTCTACTATAAATAGTAAAGAAATTAATTGGCCGACTAATATATATATAGAAAAAACTAGCCGGGTATGGTGGTACATGCCTGTAGTCCCAGCTACTCGGGAGGCTGAGGCAGAAGGATTGATTGAGCCCAGGAGATTGAGGTTGTTGTGAGCTAGGCTGATGCCATGGCACTCACTCTAGCCTGGGCAACAAAGCGAGACTCTGGCTCGAAAAAAAAAAAAACACAAAAAACTGTTTTGTTCAAAGAAAGCTATAAAAGGCAATGTTAACACATAGGTGACAGACTGGGAAGAGATACAATATATAAAACTAATAAAAGGATAAATAGCTACAAAGAATGTCTGCAAATCAGCAAGGAAAAATAGGAAAACCTAAAAGAAAAATAGTCAAAGGCTATGAGTAGGAATTTTCATAGCCTTTCAAAGAGATTCCAAATCACACTAACAATCAAGTCCAAATTGAAACAATAACGAGATTTTTTTTTTTAATTCAGAAAATTGGCCAAGATTATAAAGTTGAAAAATACATTCTGGGAGGCCAAGGTGGGCCGATTGCTCGAGGTCAGGAGTTCGAAACCAGCCTGAGCAAGAGCAAGACCCTGTCTCTACTATAAATAGAAAGAAATTAATTGGCCAACTAATATATATAGAAAAAATTAGCCGGGCATGGTGGCGCATGCCTGTAGTCCCAGCTACTCGGGAGGCTGAGGCAGAAGGATTGTTTGAGCCCAGGAGTTTGAGGTTGCTGTGAGCTAGGCTGACGCCACAGCACTCACTCTAGCCTGGGCAACAAAGGGAGACTCTTGTGTCAAAAAAAAAAAAAAAAATTAAAAAAAAAGAAAGTTGAATAGTACTAAGTGACGGTGAGGATATAGGAGAGCAAGAACTCGAATACATAGTTAATTGGTGTGGCCGTTTTGAAGATAAACTTGGTAGTATTTAGTGAAACTGATAAAGTTCATACTATCAAACTGATATGCTATTATCTAGCAATTCCATTCCTAGGTATACTCCAGAGGAAATTGTATACAAGTTCACAAGGAGACAAGTATGTGAATGTTCAATGTAGTGTTACTTCCAGTGGCAGAGTTAGAAGCAACTGTTACCGCCCAAGAATGGAAAATACTAGAAGTTTCTCATCAGTTATAAAAATGTTAATTACATTGTAATAGTTGAATAGTTATTAAAAAAGCAAATAGGTGTCACTTCAAGAAAATGATACTTCTATAAAAACCTAAATTTATACAACGAAGTAAAGTGAGCACCTGTACTACTAAGATTCTTTTAATTTGTATCAGGATAATCAAAAGACTTTTATTAGAAACCAGAAGACCTGGCTCCAGTACTCAGTAGTTATTTAACCTCAAGTTAGAATCTAACCTAGATACTAACCTCTTTATGCCAATTTCTGCATCTGTGAAATGCTGTCTACCTCAGTCAGTGTCAGTGTGAGGAATGAACATGAAAATACTTTATGAATATAAAGTGTTACAAACAAAAATTTAAGGATTTATTAAAATTATTCTTTTGATATGAAATAGCACCTCCCCAAATAGTTTTTTAATGGATTTATAAAAATGAATTTACATATAACTTTTTTTTTTTTTTCTGAGGCAGTCTCACTTTGTTGCCCGGGCTAGAGTGCTGTGGCGTCAGCCTCGCTCACAGCAACCTCAAACTCCTGGGCTCAAGCAATCCTTCTGCCTCAGCCTCCTGAGTAGCTGGGACTACAGGCATGCGCCACCAGGCCTGGCTAATTTTTTCTATATATTTTTAGTTGACCAATTAATTTCTTTCTATTTTTAGTAGAGATGGGATCTCACTCTTGCCCAGGCTGGCTTCGAACTCCTGACCTTGAGCAATCCGCCCACCTCGGCCTCCCAGAGTGCTAGGATTACAGGCGTGAGCCACCATGCCTGGCCCAGATCTTGTATGTCTTTACTGATTTTTTTTACATGTTCTATCAATTCCTGAGGAAATGGTGTTTAATTCTGTCAATTTTTGCTTCATGTGCTTTGAAATGCTGTTATTAGATGAATACACATTTATAATTGTCCGCCTGAGGTAGGGACTATTTTATCATTATGAAACGTCCTTGATTATCTCTGATACTTCTCTTTGTCTGAAAATTGACTTTACATGATATGTAGCCATTCCAGCCTTCTAATGCTTATACTTTGTGTATATTGTTTTCTATCCATTTGCTTTCAACCTGCATTTTTATATTTCAACTGCATCCTTGGTAGACAGCAAACGATTGAACTTTATTTTCTTTGTTGTTTTTTTTTTGTGTGTGTGTGTGAGAGAGAGAGAGAGAGAGAGAGAGAGAGTCTTGCTCTGTTGCCCAGACTAGAGTGCAGTGGTGTGATCACAGCTCACTGCAACAACCTCCGACTCCCAGACTCAACCGATCCTCCTGGCTCAGCCTCCCAAGCAGCTAGGACTGCAGGTACATGCCACCATGCCCAGCTAATTTTTTTAATTTTTTGTAGAGACAGGATCTCACTATGTTGCCCAGGCTGGTCTCGAACTCCTTTTCTCAAGCAATTCTTCCACCTCAGCCTCCTAAAGTGTTGGAATTACAGGTGTGAGCCATCATGACCAGCTGACTCTTACTGTTTAAAATGCATTCTAACAATCCTTGTCTTTTAATTGGGTGTTTAGTTCATTTACATTAAATGCACTTATGGATATTAATGGATTTTACCATTTGTTTTGCTTGCCTTTTTTTTTTTTTTTGAGAGAGAGTCTCGCTCTGTTGCCCAGGCTAGAGTGAGTGCCGTGGCATCAGCCTAGCTCACAGCAACCTCAAACTCCTGGGTTCAAGCAATCCTACTGCCTCAGCCTTCCGAGTAGCTGGGACTACAGGCATGTGCCACCATGCCCAGATAATTTTTTCTTTTTTTTTCTACTCTTTCTTCTTTCTTTCTTTCTTTCTTTCTTAAGATTTACCTGCAGAAAATAGACCAGATAATTTTTTCTATATATATTTTTAGTTGGTCAATTAATTTCTTTCTATTTTTAGTAGAGACAGGGTCTCACTCTTGCTCAGGCTGGTTTTGAACTCCTGACCTTGAGTGATCCTCCTGCCTTGGCCTCCCAGAGTGCTAGGATTACAGGCGTGAGCCACCGCGCCTGACCTATGTGAGCACTGTTTTGTTTTGTTTTGTTTTTTAACATATACATATATGTTTTTATTACATTATTTTATGTGAGCACTGTTTAAAAAAAGAAAACAACACACACGTCCTCATTGTGTGGCTGAAGCTGCGGCTGGCCTTCCTCCTTCCCTACACACACAGGAATTCTCGGTGCCTGCTTTACACCAGGCTGCAAGGCATTCCATCTGCTTGCTAGTGTGTGCACTTCCTAAAACAAAAACAGTCATTACCAGCTGGGGTGCATCCTCCACTGGCATTAGTTACCACACAGCAACGGGACAGTGAGATCACCTGGCTAGGGACAATTTAGTAGACGGGGTAAGGTGGCCAGAGCTGGAGTGACCCTCCGCATTGCTGAACTGCGGTCACTGAGAGAGGACAGAAAGAAGGCAGGAAAGCAAGAGGGCACGGTTGCAAGTTGGGAGTCTCTCTGTGAGACAATGTGGGGAGAATTCTCCCCACCAGGTTTTGGATAGATCAATGTGCCGAAGTTAAGAAAAAAAAAAAAAGAAAGAAAGAAAACTCCAAATAATCAGCAGTCCAAAGACTTGAATTTCGAACTTCTCCCACGAAGACAGCTGACATGTAGCAGTAGCATCTAGTTTTTTCCAGGAAGTGAAGGGAGAACCCCTGGCATTCCTCCTAACTGCCCCCGTGTCAGGCCCTAGAAGTTCCTGCTGCTGCTTCAGTTGCTGCTGTTGCTCCATTTGTGACTTCTTGGTCTCAAAGACAACAGGAAGAACCAAGATTATAAAGAAAGTGGTCCCAATCCACAAGGCTGCTCTGGAAAAGGCGCATATCTTTTGAGCCACAAAGAGGGAGAGATCAAAAATGGCTCCAGGCTGGATGCAGTGGCTCATGCCTGTAACCTTAGCACTCTGAAGGCCGAGACTGGAGGGTAGCTTGAGGTCAGGAGTTTGATACCAGTGTGAGCAAGAGTGAGGATCCCTCTACTAAAAATAGAAAAAATTAGCTGGACGTGGTGATGTGCACCTGCAGTCCCAGCTACTCAGGAGGCTGAGGCAGGAGGATCACTTGAGCCCAGGAATTTGAGGTTGCTGTGAGCTGGGCTGATGCCACAGCACTCAAGCCTGAGTGATAGAGCAAGACTCTGTCTCAAACAAACAAACAAGAGACCGGGTGCGGTGGCTCACACCTGTAATCCTAGCACTCTGGGAGGCCGAGGCAGGCGGACTGCTCCAGGTCAGGAGTTCGAAACCAGTCTGGGCAAGAGCGAGACCCTATCTCTACTATAAATAGAAAGAAATTCATTGG